ATATGTAGCATTATTCATGAGTTATTTGAAGTTATTCAATAAATGGGATGGTTGGAACTGGAGAGGATTAATCTTGGAACACATTCAGAGGAGTTTTTAGCAAAGTTGGGAAGTCAGGAGCACCAAGGAACAACTTAAGAGAAGGAGCTCTTCTGATACCGGTTTCCATGGATTTGGATGGTGCATGAACATGGACAAAAGGCCAACTTACAAAATTTCTCCAAAACTACACACCCGACTATGATTTTTCCATGGTTGTTCCCCTAACAACCTTATTGTCTTGATACTGCACCATGACAACAAATAAAGTACACTTCATCTTTTCTCTTTATTCCTTGAATTGTGTGACAGAGGAATAGTTGTGCTTTCATTTCTAGAAGCAGGAATGGAAACTAATTTCAGTAAGAGGTATGTGTAGTAGGTGATCTCTAAGACGTCTTCAATGATCTCCAGCTCCTGGTAGTCATGCCGTTGTGTAAGCTCCGCCCTTTGAGCATGGGCTGGAGCTAGTGATATGCTTCTAACCAAAAGCATACAGCAAAAGTGACTGGATGTCACTCCTGGTATTATGTTACAAGACTGTTATTTACGAAATATTTACACTCTCTCTGACTCACCTCATGAGCGATCGATCTCTGATGAAGCAAACTCCCAACTGCCAGTGGTGACCTGAGGCTCTCAGCCCAACAGTCCTTGAAGAAGTGAATCTTGCCAACAAGGAAGTGTATCTTGTCAACAACCACTTGAGTGAGCTTGACAGTGGATTCCCCATCAAACCTTCAGGTTGGGACAGGTTCATGGCAATTGTCACTTGTTCAGACCCTACGTTTTCCTAAATATGAGTTTTACACTCTTCCAAGCAGCTGCATTTATAACTAATCATTGTGATCTGAATGGGTCATTCCCACCTACATTACTGCTACACAAATGTAAAAAATGACATCCCGCCCTTAATACACACAAATTTTTGCTGAATTATCACCGTCATCATCGTGTTTATCATTTTTGTGGAGAGAGCAGTAAGCAATGTAGCCTGTTCTTTTACATCTAGTTCCAACTTCAATTGTGTTAAACAACAAAAATTCAATGGAGTACATTTGAAGATCTAGTTGGCTTTATTAAGCAATGTGTGACTCAAGCAGCATCCCACCTAACAAGTAGGGGGAGTTCTGAGGAGGTGTATAAATGGAAGGTTTCTATGGGAAGGATTGTTCCAGGCAAGGTCACTTTCCCTTAGGAGGAAGCCCAGGAGATCTTATCTTGCAGATGACCTCTTCTTCCTTTGGGGGATGAAGAGGGCCTAGTGACAGATTATGTCATCAGTGCTTACGGGAAAAGTCCTGACTGACCACCAACTCCCTGACTACATTTCTGGGGGAGGTTGAAACTGCAATTAGGTTAGATATTAAGCCCTGGTTTGGCATCTGGGCCTAAGTGGCTCCATTTTGGGCCTGTGGTTTCTTTTTAATAGTTGGAAATAGGTTTTGTTTCCTTTGCCAATGTCATTGATTGGTAGTGGTTGCTGGAACTCAGTATTAAGAAGAATTGTCAGGAGCCCAAGTCTAGGCTCTGTTGGCAAAAAGAGTTGTGATCAGTTAGAGATTAGTTGGGAGAATAGTATACTTGGCGAGAATTTTGATGTTCTTTTTTTTTTAAGATTTTATTTATCCATGAGAAGCAGAGAGAGAGAGAGGCAGAGACATAGGCAGAGGAAGAAGCAGGTGCCCTGCAGGGGGCCTGATGCAGGACAGGATCCTAGGACCCCAGGATCAAGACCCAAGCCAAAGGCAGATACCCAACCACTGAGCCACCCAGGTGTCCCAAATTTTACTGTTCTAATGTCAGTCCTGACACAGGCACCTAGGTCTGATTACCAACTTTTCCTGGTTTTAGCAAGGATCGGGTGCATCCTGGCAACCCCTTCAATCCCAGGCAAACTGCAACTGTTGGTCACCCTATACCTACCCAGGTATCTTTCTGGAAGCCAGGAGAACTGGGTGTACTGTAATACTTTGCTTCTCAAATATGATCCATGGGCCAACTGTATCAGTATCCTCTGGGAGCTTATTTACAGTGTGGAACCTTCTGCCCCACCCCAGACTTAACTGAAGCAGAAGCTGCACTTTTACAAGGTCTCCTGGGGATTCATGCACATTGAAGTGTGAGCAGCTGCTGTAGGGCTTAAGTCCTGCTGGAGGAACACTGTTTATGGATCAATGGCTCCCATGCCGTTTCACCTGGAATACCCGAAAATGATCACATCACCCACGAGACCTAATCTCACATGCACAGCCTACGCTCTGCAGGAGTGGCGCAACCGCGCAGTTCTCTCCCACTCCCAATTTACGTGAAAATGAGAGGAAGGAGAGTGAGGCTATTGCAGGGCTACTTTGAAAGTGCTCTAATATTTTAGTGACACTGCAGTATGAGCAGTATGTGGGGGTGCTGTAGAGGGGAACTGCTGCCTGAAACTCGTGCTGCAACAGCCACTGACTCAGAGAGAGGGAGGTTCATTTGTCCTCTCTTGGTCCGTGTTCACCTTTCGGTCAGGTGGCTAGGGGCATCCATCCTAAGATCCCCTTCTAGATGATGTGTGGGGAAGACACGGGTTGGATTCGTAGAGAAGCCTTGAAATCCTTAAACCAGTGTTTTTCAAACTTGAGAGTGCATCAGAATCACCTGGAGAGTTTTTTTTTTTTAAGATGTTATTTATTTATTCATGAGAGACACAGAGACAGGGGCAGGGACCCAGGCAGGCTCCCCGCGGGGAGCGCCACGAGGGAGTCGATCCCGGGAGCCCTGGGTTCTGCCCTGAGCAGAAGGCAGGCGCTCAACCCCAGAGCCACGGTGCTCCCACCTGGGGGGGTTATTAGAGATTAGCCGGCGCGAGTTGCGGGGAGCGCCTGCCGAATGAGCAGGCGCTCTACGGGGAGGAGAGGAGGGAAACACGGAGGGAGACGAGAAGGTAGAAGATCTCACAGCGAAAAGTAGCCGCGGCGCAGGAAGCAGGGCAGGAGGAGGCACCTGCGCTCCCGGAGGCCGCGCGCCCCAGTTCCCAGCGCCCGCTTCCCAGGGAAGGGAGGGCGGCGGGGGCGTGGCTGGCGGCGCGGCTGGGAGAGCGTCAGCGCGGTGGGCGGGGCGGCTCCGGGGAGCGGGGCGCGAGCTTCCGGAGGACACAGTCGCGAGCTCCGGTGGCGAAGTGACTTTTAGTAATAGTTTATCTTTCACGGCTGCCAAGCTCTAGGGGGCCTAGGTGTCGCCACTGCGGAACGGGTCCTGGCAAGGGGCCAAAAGGAAGGCGAACTGCGGAAGCCTCTCGCAGCTCCTCCCCGCCTGCCGGCGCGCGCAGCCTGGGCGGGCCACGTCCTTCACGCACTGATACGTCATCCCGGCCTGCGCCCGGGGGCGGGCCGGGGCGGAGTGTGGGTCGACGGCGAGCCTGCGCAGAGCGTGGGAAAGGCATGCGCTGTGGCGTCTGACGTATCTGTGGAGACATCTTAGGTTTCCCTCAGCGGGCGCGGAAGAGCAGCGAGTGCGGCTCTGCTTGGCTTCCCGCCGGTCTTTCCGGCCCGGCCGTGAAGCGGTCGCCTGGTGCCGGGCGTGGTGAATTTCCCGGTGCGGTTCCTGAGGAGCAGCCGGCGGCCGCGCTCCTCTCCGTTCCGGGCTGCGGCCGGCCCCGCGCGCCGGGGAGCCTTTCCGTGGCGGTGGCGGTGGCGGTGGCGGTGGCGGTGGGGGCCCGTGGCCGCCGGGCGCTCCTCTCGGGCGTGTTGCCTCAGATTCACGCCACACTGAGGCCAGCAGAAAGCAAAACAACCCTCAGCAATGTTGAACTACAGTGCCCTATTTTGGTATAAGTTTTAGGGGACCTGGACTCCTAGCGATAGGTGCGAATATATGATTACGGTGCATTTTGTTAGTTTTAAGGCTACAATCGTTAAAATGAGCAGTAGTTGTCAATTTGAGGAACAAGTGGTTCCCGACACGGTATTCATCATCTGGGTCTTAATGAATTTTAGGGACTGAGCAATGCTCTTTAAAAGGCCCTGCTACCTACCACGTATAGACGAACTCCACTGGGCCTGAGTGAGGGTTTATACTGCATTATCAAAAATCCATTTATGTATGATTCTCCACAGCTATCTGATTCTAAAATACAGAGCCATCCTTTTGAGAAGCTCTGTTGAGGTTACTGTGGTGCTTCGTGATGTAAATATCAAACCTTGAAAAAAAAAAACCCTTAGGACATTTGGGTAATATATTTACTACTAAAGTGATTTTTAAACGATACTACATTGAATACAGTTGGAAAGATTTAGTCTTCAAAGCCTTGTACAAAGTGACCACTTCACCTTGGCTGCTACGACTGAGGACTTTCTCTCACGTTTGGCAATAATTTGATTTTACTTGCCTTCAGGCACCTCGAAACTCCAGACGTTGTGAGGTTATGAGCAGCATCCAAATGAGGATTTCGTAAGGGAAGAGTTTGGTGTAATTGGTCTGGAGATGTCAGCTCTGCTAAACGCTGCCGAATTGCAAACTAGGCAAGTTATCACTAAATTGCGAATTTCTTATCCCTGACATCTTTTCTACCTGTTCTCTGGGTATGTTTGATTAATACCGAATAACTTGTGTGGAATTGCTCTGGAACAATAAAAGCGCTACATACATGTTTATTTTTTTATTACAACGATTCCATTGCCATTCTTGTCACTAAACTGATTAAGCTGAGAGAACTATGGCTTGGTAAGACACTATTTAGGTGAGTAGTAGCAGGATTAAGGAAAAGTATGAAGAGAGCTTTAGAATTCTTAAACTAAAAAAAAAAAGAATTCTTAAACTATTCTCAAATCTCCAAATCCTTGGAATTGTATAGGCCTCATTTGGAGAGTGGAAGTAAAAAAGGTTACTAGCCTATATAAATTGAATCTTGAAAAATATTTGCCTTGTATTTAAATATTTTACATTTGTTTAAAAGCCCCGATATTTTTTTTTCAGCTCGGTTTTCTACATTTTTAACAATCTTCAAGAACTTAATACATTCCTCAAGGGGAACAAAAGGCTTAGACTAGAGGAGATAGACCCAAGAGTGTTTTAAAGTACCATAGGAGGGCTTCAGAAAAGTAAGTGAATGTTAATCTACATGACCCACCTATTCTATAAAATGCAGAATGCTAAAAAAAAATGCAGAATGCTTTTGACTAATGGTTTTAAGTTAACATTTAAAGTTCTTCCCATAAGTTTAAATAATGGCAAATAATGTAATTTCCAGTGCATTATAAAATGTTATTTTGCACTCTTGTCTAAATGTATGCAATGGAATTAAATTGTTTTGATACCTATCATCCATTTTTAAAAAGTGGACTAGCTCTTTGATAGTCAAAACTTGACATTGTATTGTTATTCTGTTCTTTACAGCAGTGGTTCTGATTTAGAGACTAGAGCTTCCCAGAGGGCATTTGGCAATACCTGGAGACGTTTTCGGTGTCATAACTAGGGAGTGGGGGACACTGGCATCTAGTGGGAAGAGGCCTGGGATATTGCAGAACATCGTACAGTGCACAAGGCAACCCCTAACAGCAAGGAATTAATCAGCCCAAAATGTCAGTAGTGCTGTGCTGTTGAGAAACCCTGACCTACAGATTTCTACTCTCACGTAGTGTGGTTTTAAAATTAAAGTCTTACTGGTTAGCATTCCTTCCTGCAGCAAAAATGTGTGTATATTTAAATTTGTGGAATATCTTGTGATCATTAGGTTTTAAATGTTAAATCATTCCAGAGAAACATTTTTTTTTTTTTAGAATCATTACAGGTATCCTCTGCTTTTTGAACGTTTACATTATACCACTTAGCTTTTCGAAATACTTACATTACTACTTGTTTTTACTACCTGAAAAATATCTGTAGAGGATTTTCATTTTTACAAAAAAGGTGAAAAGCAAAAATAGTGTTCAGCTTTTAGCAGCCAGCACGGTGCACCCTGAGCGAGAATGGCGCCACCAAGCTCCTTCCCTGGGAACTATACCCAGCATCTTGACTTCTGGTAGCCGTAGCTTTTGAACTATGTCAGCATCTGTGCTTTATCTGGGTCTATTTTGTGCATCTATTGGCGAGATATGCTCTAAGGTTATCAGAAAAGCCTAAGAGGGGTGGGCTTTTTGGGTCTGGGAACACTCAAAACATTTTCAATGTAAATGAATGGTAGCTGTTTCTTCACTTTATGCTATTTTGGTTTACAAAAGTTCTCCTAGAAACGCTCTACTTTCAGATAGTGAGGGAAAGCTGTACAGCTATTACACGTATATAGCTGATTACAAATATCACGATTTTGAATAAAAGTAATATTTGATTAAATGTACTTCTTAATGAGAGTGGGCTTTTTTAATCATTTAGCTTACATTTCCATGGATGGATATTATTCATTGCTAGAACATGACAGAGTTCAACATCAATTCCTTCTCTCTTTTATTTTTAGAGTTGTAAGGCCAAAACATCTTGTTCATTTAAGCTCTCATGAGAGGAATAAAAAGAATGTTAATATAGTAATGTGGTTCAATTCTTTTTATTCCTTCTGAGTTATATGCCAAAAATAATTTAATAAGACCGATCTAGCGGAATACTGTCAAATGACATGTCCGTCATGTGCTCGTTTAATCTGCTTTAGAACCAAAATACTGGAATCCCAACTTGAAAAATGACTTCTTGCCTAAGTCATTAATTTTCTCAGTATTGACTGTTTAATGCCATGGCAGTTGTGTCCTAGAACAGCACACCATAGGAAGAATCAGGGTGGCTAAGAGATATTCCTTTCGTAGGGGCCAACAGGGCGATCTCTGTGTGCTTAAGCACCCGGATGTTTGGGTTAAGTAGTTGTTTATTAGTAGTTGTTGGATGGGTGGATGGAGGAACACTGCAATGAATGAGCACTTCTGGATTAAATGTTATTGTAATGATCCAAGCTAGAAATCACGATTGATAGTACGGAAGCTGCGGAGAACATTCTGGATATATTCTGAGGACAGACCTCACAGAATTTTCCCCAAGGTTTGGATGTGAGAGGGAGGGGAGCATCAGGTATCACTGCGTAGTTTGGTCCTAAACCACAGAAGAGTTACCACTTACTGAGCTGGGGGAGAAGAGTAGGAAGAGCAAGTGCAGGCCCAGTGCATTTTCTCAGCGCCACATTTGCGTTTCCCAGCTTAAGGGAGCTGCTGAAACGTGTGGTTACCTATCAAAATACAAATAATAATATTACTTTTAGTTTGACTAAAAGGCTTCCACAGTCATTTTCCCACAAAATGATGGAATCTTTCCCTTTGTTTTTAACTCCAGTGCCTCAAATTCAAACACCCTTGATGATGTTGTTAACTCTGTTATTAAGGAATGTTACTTATCTGATTTATGTATGATAGATGTACCTTAAGGACAAGTTTTGTAGTATAAAGTTGTTAGGTGTTTTAATAGATTTTTTAAAGATTTTAAGTAATCTGTGCATGCAACATGGGGCTCAAACCCATGACCCCCGAGATCAAGAGGCACACATTCCACCAACTGAGCCAGTCAGACACCCCATAGAATTTTGAACACATTTTATTGTAACTTAAATTGATGATTTTCTACAGAGGTATTGTTTAGGACATATTTAATATTCAACAGTTGGCTCTATTGAGTATAAAAATAGACTTCTCAAACTCCTAAACACCAAAAGCATGATTTTGCTTCAGATGACTGAATCCTAGATTTCTGAGCTGATCAGAATAATGCAAGTTAGCTCAAATGCAACTTATAATTTATGATTTATGTTAATGTAGGTTAACATGCAGTGTTATGTAGGGTTTTCCACCTTGACTAAGCTAATCCAGAGATGCATATTTTTCTCTTAGTAACTTTTTAATACTTCTGTCTTTTTTCCCCAGTTTGTTTCGGCAGAAAGAATCATGTATGCAAAGACAAAAAAAATTAACTCCATTTCGGTGAAAGGGCACTTATATACCCAGTTGTTAAGATGTCTTGAGAAGTTCACCCAAAACATGTTTGCCTGTGTAAATTAATGTGATCAATCCCTATTTTATGGTTTGGCATACATACTGAGAGTGTCCCTTATTTAATTCCACCCACATAACAAGATTCTGATGTAGGTTCTCAGAGTCTAATGGACAAGGCACATAGGTGCATACCAACATTGTGAGCATGTTTGTGGTAAATATTGAAATGCAAGCAAATATTGAAGGAGCATAAACACAGAAGAACTTCCTGTGGCTACAGATAGGATCTTTGCATTGATTACACTCCTCTTGGGAGAGGAGGTTGTGCACACTAGGGTAATTTTGCCTATTTCTCCTGTTTTCCTCCAAAGCCTGGCATCCTATGTCTCCTACCTCTCCGCATCTCTGGGATGGCACAGTGATGTTCCTGCCACCTCTGCTGGATGATGGCATCTGCAGCCCACCGCTGTTCTGTCTAAGCGAGTGTGCCAGAAGGCTTGGAGGACCGCAGCTGCCCGTGCAGGGCAAAAGCATCCTCTGGGTAGCTAAAGCTCGGACTTCTTTCTAAGCAAGGTACCTTTTACCAGGGTCCCTTCATGGAAACCACATATATACATAAAAGACCTGCCATAGTATTTAGCCTAATGGCTGTGCCATTTATGAAGATCAACCACAGGTGAGGAAGGCCCTTTATGTTTTGTACCTGAGTGCTCAAAACTTTATTGTAGAAGTATGCCCATTTTGTTTGTTTTTTTCCTTACAAAAGGGCTTATAAACCCTGTAGGTAAAAAATTAAGAATTCCCATTTGGGGGAATTAAAGTTTCTGGTCACCAAAACAAACAAAAAGCCAAAAAAACCTTCGAAGGTGTTCCTGATACTGTAGGTTGGAGATGGGACATGAATATTTGTAGTTCTTGCAGGTTCCCAGGTAACTCTTTCTTTTCGGATTGTGGTCCAGGGCCAGCAGCATCAGTATCACCTGGTAGTTTGTTAATAGTGCAGACTCTCACAGGTTCTCAGGCCCACAGCAGACCTTCTGTATCAGAATCTGAATTTTAACATGGTGCCAGGTGAGGAGTGCACATAGCCACAAACTGAATAGCAGGAGTTGGATAGCCCCAAGAAGTTGTTTCTGTTGTTCCAGTCTTGTTGGAGGTGATGGCAGCCTTTAGAGCGTCTCCCCCACCCCCCTGCCCCGAGCCTTGACTTTCTGGTTGGTACTTGCTGGTCAGTGACCTGGCCGATGCTGTCCACTGCCTCAGTGTGATTTGCCTGGCTTTGAATACTCCTCTGTATACCCCTGAATGGAAATATTACTTGGTTCTGCTCCAGAATATTAGTTCTGAAAAATGTCAAGAAGGTGAATGCCTAAACATCTGCTTCCCTTTCTGCTTTCCACTCCTTTCTCTCAACTCCCACATTTGTGAGCTCTGTTCCATCAGCATCCTTTAGCAAATACACAGAAGGCCAAAGCACCACCTCTGCAGAGCACTGTTATAGGAAGGCTCCAAATTCATATTTAAAGGTCCAGAAAAATGAATGGTGATCAAGTGCCTGTGTGGGGTATGGTTGGAGGTTATTTGACAAGAATTGCTGACCAGCCTGACAGGTCAGGGCTGTGCCTATCAGTCCCAGACTGAGAGGAATCTAAAACTGTTCAGAAAGAAAGCAAGGACAGCAGCAAGGCAGTGGATCTTAATGTACTGCCCAGCATCGAATAGGCGGAAATTGAGCCTAACTTTCTCCTATTTTGCCCCTATCAACTGCCACCGTTTTGTCTGTAAAAGATCACAGAAGTAACAACAATGCAAGGGGTTTGGAAAATAGAATAGCAAATATTTACCCACTGCCCCACTGCCTTATTATATAGTTATATATGTTTTTCTGTCTGTCGCCAACCATATGTAATAGGAAGAATAATGGACTCTCAGAGATGTTCATGTCCTAATTCCTTGAGACTGGTAATTTGTTAGGTTACAGACAAATTTGGAAATTAACATTGCAGAAGGAATGAAGTTTGCTTATTGCTGACTTTATTTTTTTTTTATTGCTGACTTTAAATGTAGAGGTTATTTGGGATTATCTGGGTGGGCTCACTGTGATCATAAGAGTCCCTTAAAAGTGGAAGAGAGAGGCAGAAAACTCTGAGGGAAATGTGACTGGAGGTAGGTCAGAGGGGCGTGATGTGAGGACTCAATTGGCCTTTGGGGACTTTGAAGACAGAGGATAGGGCCACTGGCCAAGGAGTGTGGATGCCCAATAGAGGTTGTGAGAAGGAAATGGCTTCTTTTGTGTGGCCTTCAGAAAAGAGCACTGCGCAGCCGGAACCTTGATTTTAGGTCAATAAGACCTGTATTGAACTTCTGTCCTCCAAAATTGTAAGATAATAAGTATGCATTACTTTAAGCAGCTAAGTTTGTGGTAATGTGTTACAGCAGCAATGGAAAAGTAAGACACTTTTTTCACCATATTTCTTATAGTTACATCATGCCTAAATATTTTTTGGGGGGTTGCAGTAGTTTTTGTAATTATTTGAATGGCCATGTGTTATTCTGTGGAGCTGAAGTACTGTCATTCCTTAGCCATATGTTCACTTGAAAATCAGATATGTGAACTGCTTCCTGTATTTCCTTTTTTTCATGTTTCATTATTTTCTAAGGATATTCTATCAGAATTACATTTGGACTTTGAATTTCTTCCAGTTTTTCTATATTTAAGAAAAAAATCTCTGAAGTCCATTTGAAATTTTTAAAAATATTTGTTTAGAGAGAGAGTGTGCCTGCGTGCACACTCTCACGTGTGCACATGCACTTGTGGGGCAGAGGGCAGGGGGGCACATAGAGAGAGGGAGAGAATCTCAAGCAGACTTCCCCTCTGAGCACAGAGCCCACCTCAGGGCTTGATCTCACGACCCTGAGATCATGACCTGAGCCAAAACCAAGAGTCAGACACTTAACCAACTAAGCCACCCAGGCGCCCCTCACTTAATTTTTTAATTGATTTTTTCAGATGCATCTTAATTCATTGTTTCCAGCTCCTTGAAAAATCCCATTGAGAGTTTCTGATGTCCATTGCCTTCACAAACTCCTTCAAAACTCACAGACTTGCAGTCAAAGCCCTCAATTTTGTGATCCTACTTTTCCTATTTCCATTTTCACAAACTTATAGTTAGGCCATTTCTTTCATATCTTCCCTATTGATTGTTTTCTGCTTTAAGTCTTTGTGTATTCTTTTCCCAGTCCAGGTTGCACTTTTCACAGTGAAATTATGTGTGATTTGTCTTAAAAGCTTTTTCTCAGCAGCTTGGTATATGAAGAATGTGAGCGTTGGAATCAGAAAGCCCTGGATTTGAATCCCAGCTCTGTTTCTCACTAGCTGTATGGCCTGGAATGAGTTGCTCATCCTTTCTGAGCATCAGTTTTCCTCTTTAGGATGAAGTCAACAGTGTCTCTCCTGCACGGTTGTCAACTGATTATAGCTAATGTATACAAAGGATCTAGCAAGATCCCTGCTACTTTGTAGGCAATCCATGAGTATCACTGTTCATCTTATGACTTTTCTATCCTCCCCATTAAACCATAAATTCTCTAAAAATAAGAACAGTTCATTATTCTTACATGTATACCCTATGAAGCCTAGGACATAATAGGTGTTTAATAAACATTTACTATTTTGTCTTCTTCCTCCCTGTCCCTGTTTTATTAAAATCCCATTCCCGGGGTCCTAGGATCGAGCCCCGAGTCTGGCTCCCTACTCAGTGAAGAGTCTGCTTCTCTTTCTGCCGCTTCCCCTGCTCGTGTTCTCTCTCTCTCTCTCTCTTTCTCTCAAATAAATAAAATATTTAAAAAAAAGATCCCATTCATTCTCTCAGGCTCCTGTTGTAGCCCCATCTCCTTTATGACTTATCCATGATGACACTTAACCTGGGTGAGCCAGTGCGATTGAATGATGTAAAATAGACGCTAAGGGAGGAAAATAGAGGTTCATGGAGATGATCCATTGGATCCCTTTTAGCTCTAATTTTTTATATAATTTTGGAGTTTTCTGGGGAAGGAATTATCACTGAGCTCTTGTTAATATGCCTAAGTGTTCCACATATGCTAGAGCTCATCGTGCCATATAAGATTCCACCCAGAATGAGAAAACATTTGCAAAAGACATATCTGATAAAGGACTGCTATCCAAAATATACAAAGAACTCTTAACACTCAACAATAAGGAAACAACCCAATTAAAAAATGGGCCAGAGAACTTAACAGACACACCATGAAGAATGTTTACAGATGGTGAACTAAAGATATAAAAAGATACTCTACATCATATGTCATCAGGGAAAAAGAAATTAAAAGAATAGTGAGAAACCACTACACACCTATTTGGCCAAAATCTGGAACACCACCACCACCAAATGCTGACAAGGATGTGGAGCAACAGGAACTCTCTCATTCGTTGCTGGTGGGAATGTAAAATGGTATAGCTACTTTGGAAGACAGTTTGTCAGTTTCTTATAAAACTAAATATACTTTTGCCATATGATCCAGCAATTACATTCCTTGACATTTACCCAAAGGAGTTGAAAACATGTCCACACAAAAACCTGCACATACATGTTTATAGTAGCCTTTTTCTTAATTGCCAAAACTTGGAAACAACCAAGATGTCTTTCAGTGGGTGAATGGATAAACAGTGGTACATCCAGACAATAGAGTATTATTCAGCACTAAAAAGAAATGAGCTATCAAGTCATAAAAAGCCATGGAGGAAACTTCAATGCATACTAAGTGAAAGAAGCCAATCTGAACGGGATACCTATTGTATGACTCCAACTATATGACATTCTGGAAAAGGCAAAATTCTGGAGACAGTACAAAGATCAGTGTTTCCCAGGGAGTGGGGTGATTGGGGTAGGGAACTAATAGAGCACAGAGGATTTTTAGAGTAGTGGAAGTACTCTCTATGGTGTCATAATGATGGATACATATCATTATACATTTGTCAAGACCTATAGAATGTATACTACCAAGAGTGAACCCTCAGGTAAACTATGGACTTTGGGTGATGATATTGTGTCAATGTAGGTTCATCAGTTTTAACAAATGCACCACTCTGATGGGGGTATTAATGAGGGAGGATATAAGGGAATTCTTTGTACCTTCCTCTCAGTTTTGCTGTGAACCTAAAATTGCTCTAAAAACTTCTTTAAAGAAAATCCCCAAAACTCAACCCAACCCTTACCATATTATACTGAATCTTAGAGTAAGGAAATAGAGGTTAAGTGGCAGAACCAGGACTTTCATCTCAATTTCTTTGCCTCCAAAGCCCACATTTTCCTACTCCATCACAGTGGAGCAACACCGACAGTGCCCAGTCTACAACCTTTTGGTTCTCTTCCATACATGGCATACGTGCTTACAGCGTCTTATCAGGAGCCCCTGTGCTTCTCCACCTTCTCAGACTGTAGAGATGTGCTTGGCCTGCTTGCTGGGTAGGCTAGAAAGACGGGGAGTCAGTATCCTGGGGAGCAGCCCTTGATAATGCTGGACGGGTGTCAGTGGATAACTGTTCCAGCCTCCTCACCTGATAAGAAAGACAATGAAGCTGTGGATACTGGTGATGGCCATGGCTGAAGTCAAGGGTCCGAGCTGTCTGTGATATTAGGTTCAAAACTTTAGAGTGAGCATTTAGAAGCTCTTATAGTAATTGGACAGAAACATTGTATCTTTTGATTCTAGTAATTTTTTAAACTCTTGTATTTTGCATGTCTGTCTTTTTTAAATTTCATTTTCCCAGTGATGCATTTTTGTTATGTTTACAAAAGTCCTGTTTTACAATGGATTGGGCAGTTTTTAAGAATTAGTTCATCATGGGAATTTGAGAAACACTATTCTATAGCAAGGGGTTGACAAACTACAGCCCTTGGGCTGGCTGCCTGGTTTTGTAAGTAATGTTTTATTGGAACACAGCCATACCCACTCATTTATGTATTATCCATGGCTGCTTTTTCTCTATAGTGGCAGAATTGAGCTATTGCGACAGACACTGTGTGCCTCCCCAAGCCTGAAATATTCACTCTTTGCCCTTATAGGGAAAGTTGGGTCAAGCCCTGTTGTACTTGTCTCCCCCAGTTCTCCAGCTGAGTTGAGCTCCACGTTGCTAATATGAGCTCCACGGCGCTAATTTGCTTGCTAACATACCTTCTATTGACATCTTTTTCTTCCCTGTCTCGTTTTTTTATTCCCTGCCACTATTTCCTGGATATCCTAAATTAATGACTTGCACTCACATTCTTGACCCAAAGTGGAGTTCTGGGGGAACCCAACCAATGCACACATCATGTCCTTGTTTGTCCTAACTCCAGGACAAACTTACTAGCAGAGCAGAGACCACTTAAGAGCAGGGTTAACCTCAGCACAATGATTAAGTTATCACGCCCCTCCCACCCCCACCGTCCTGTCTCTTCTGCAGCACTGTTTAACAATTCAACCTTGCGGACATGACTTTTTCTAGTTCATATACTCTATCTTATTGAGTGCCACCTCTGCACCAGGGATGATGGAGGAGAGGATAGAGAGCAAGAGGAAGAAAGAAAATCCCATCTTGTCCTATATAGGATGCTCCCTTTTTACAACAGAAACCTGCTTGGAGCGGATCCCGAGGTGCCCATGCACCTGAGTCATTGCCAGTTGGTCTCAGCCTCGCAGGACATGGCCGAGTCACTGTCCACCCCCACTTTATGCTGCTGTTTTCATTTGTCTCTGCCTACCCCTCCTAATTACTTAGGTCACTTCAGACTTTAATTCTGTCTTCTAAAGTGTAACACAGCCATAATTAGGCCATATGTTAATTAGCAAGATGACGTCTTGTCACTCGTGAGAGATGTGGATCATCGCAGAAAGTACCATAGAAAGGGGAGTTCAGCAGGAAGAGGAAGTCTACGGAGGCTGGAAGTGACTCTCTGTCTAGCCAAAACTACCTTAGAGAGCAGGAGAAAATGGCAGGATGCAAGAGGGCGAAAGGATGGGGTCACACAAAGAAAAAGAGCTAGAGTTGACCTCTTTTCTACTCCAGGAATGAGCTGCAAGCCAGGAGACAAGCCTGAGGCCAAGAAGTCACCAGGGATGGCAGAATGTTCTGAAGGACTGGAGGTGGCCAGGGCTGAGGGCAAGGCCTCGAAGGAAGCAACGGGCAAGGTGAGTGTCAGGCATGCGTGCTCCTGTCTCTTACCCCTGGAAGCCTGTGGGGATGCCCATCACAAATCAAGGCCATTCTCTGCTTCTGTGGCCCCTCTAAGGGCTCTGCAGGAAGTCTGGAAGATGGGGTTCTGGTAGCTCATGCTGTTTCTGTTTCTACAGGCTGTTTACTCAGTGTCAGTTCCCTGTTTTCTGTTAACTTATTTTGTGACATTCTTGGGATGACAAAGTTGGAAAGAGGATCGGGCAGGTCATGATAATTTCCTATTTCAGTTAGTGTCACCTTTATCACTCAGGAGACAGTTTTCCAGGAAACTAATTACTCAGGGAATTCATGACTAGGTACAATGACATTTGAATTATTAAGATATTAACCTTCCTCCAGTTTGCTGTCAAAACATGATGTGATGAGAACTTGTTCTGTCATCACCACTAATGGATGAAAGGGACTAGGACAGTCATTTGAAGTTGTGTATTTGCTTGGATTTCAGAAAAAGACATTTGACATAGGAACTCTCAAAGCATATCAAAGGGGAAATTTCAAGGTGTAGTTTGTGTTGATAATAATATTAACAAATATTATTATTATTATTGTATTTGTGGAGTTCCTACTATATTCCAAACCTTTACAGACATCACTTCTAATATTCCTAACCATCCTTCAAGGAAAGTATCATTATCCTCATTTAACTTGAGGCTCACAGATGTTGAATCATATTCAAAGATCATACTGCAAGCTGAGACAAAGTTGAAATCTATTATTTTTTCTAAACTTTAAACTTTGAGCTTTTACCAATATACTGGGGTCAGCAAACTTTTTCTGTAAAGGGCCAGATAGTAACTATTTTCACTTTTGTTGCCCAGATGGCATGTGTTGCAACTACTCATTTCTGGTGTTGTAGCACATAGGTAGCTATACACAATACACCAATGAATGAATGTGGCTATGCTCCAACAAAACTTTATTTACACAAACTAAAATTTGTTTTTAGCATAATTTCCACATATTGTAAAATATCATTGTTCTTTGGAATTTTTTCCCCAATCTATTTAAAAAGTGGTAAAAATCAGGTGGCAGACCATGTTTGGCCCATGGGCTGTAGTTTGCTGACCCCCACCCTTCACGAAACCAGCTATCTTACAGTGACTTAGGAAACTAAGTGAAAGCAACTGAGCTGCATATTTTACCCAAGGGAGTCAAGTCATCTACAGGATAAATTATCAAAACCTTTAGGACACAGAAGCTGTAGGGAACAATGGTCCTTATTCTGGCTGTACCATCAAATTTAATGTGTAGATTTAAGTACATCTCAAGAACTTCTGGGTCTTGCTCACCTCATCTCCCGAATAGCCCCACTGTTCTTTGAATTCTACTGATAGTATGCCTGCACCAAATGATTTCCATGAAATTGGAATTTAAATCTAAGATGATTACTTGGATGATGCCATCATTAACATGGGAAAGGGTGGGGGAGGTGCGGGTTTGTGGGTGATGGCAAGAGTTTGGTTGTGGACAAGTTAAGCTCGAGGCACCTAAGAGACATAAATGAAGACAGTTGCACAGAAGTGCCTGTAGTTGGCAGGGGAAGCAGGACTAGAGATTAAACTTTAGAAGTGGTCAGCATGTAGACTGAGTCTGGGTGTTTCATAGCATTGAATAAGATCTTTTAGGGCAAACTTCCATTACCTGGGCACTATTAACATCGGGGTGGGAGGATAATTCTTTGTTGTGGGGGCTGTCTCATCCTACAGTGTACACCATAGGGTGCTTAGCAGCATCCCTAGCCTCTACACACCCTGCCCCCCCCCCCTTGTGACAACCAAAACCAGCTCTGGAAGCTGCCGCATATCCCCTGGGGTGAAAATCACCCTTGGTTGAGAGAGAATCACTGTCTTAGGGAAAGGGCTGAGGATGGTCCCCAAGGACCACAAGTCTGAAAGTCAGAAAGAGGAGGAAGAAATGGGGAAACGGACTGAGAGGAGTAGCCAGTGAAGTTGGGGAGAAACTCAATGGTTAGGCCCCAACTGCTTAGGCTGGACTTGGTGTAATAGTTGAGGAAAGGGAGGAACGAATGTCAATTAAAAAGTAATGGCCCATAGCTCAAGACTGAGCCCTAGTGAGCTCCACTGTGTTTATGGGACCTCCCAGTGCTAGCAGGGAGACAAGGGCACATGAAGCATTGAGGTCATATATTTTCTAACCACATGGCGCCTAAAGACAGTGCATTGGACAGAGTGTTTTCTAGTAGGGAACTAAACTAGATAGCACATTAAAAGTAACATTTACAAACCAAAGATAGAGACCATTCCATGTTTCTTCTTCTTTTTCATTTTATTTTTAGAAATAATCCTCAGAGGATAAAAATGTTATTGTCTGGGTACAGGAGAAAAGCAAGAACAGAAATAGAGTTGCTATGGTTTTGAGGGGAAGCAAAAGGACTTAAGACCTGGGGCTTTTGCCATCCTGAGCTGCAGGTTGGATCCTCTTTGTTTTGTGATCTCTTCACTCGCTTCATGTCTGACGGTAGTAAGAAAAAAAAAAAAGTCAAGAGATGTGAGCTTGAACTTGTGTGAACTTTCTCTTTATACATTTGAAAACTGAAGAGCTATGGCTTAATGAAGGCCCAATATAAAGATTAAGAAAATCAATCACGGTATCCCTGGGTGGCTCAGCAGTTTAGTGCCTGCCTTTGGCCCAGGGCATGGTCCTGGAGTGCTGGGATCGAGTCCCACATCGGGCTCCTTGCATGGAGCCTGCTTCTCCCTCTGCCTGTGTCTCTGCCTCTCTCTCTCTCTCTCTCTCTCTCTCTGTGTGTGTCTTTCATGAATAAATAAATAAATAAATAAATAAATAAAATCTTTAAAAAAAAGAAATGAACAAATTAAAAAAAAAAAGAAAATCAATCCCTCATATTGCAATTGATGTCATTAGACTAGAGTTCCTCTTAGTCATATGCCTGATAGCAAAGTACCAAAGAAGGGGCGATGTATGTTTTCTCCTTTTTATATTTATCTTCTCACTCTAAAATGAAGATAATAAGTTTACCTCATGAGGTTATTATATAAAACTGCCTGACAGTGCCTAGTGCCTAGTTGCTTCCATAAATGTTTTAAAAGAATAACAATGCGTATCCTGATTGTGGTGGTGGTTACACATGTCTAAACATATAATAATATTCCATAGAACTATGGGACAGCTGAGTGGCTCAGTGGTTGAGCATCTGCCTTCTGCTCAAGTTGTGATCCCAGAGTCCTGGGATCAAGTCCCGCATTGGGCTCCCCGCGGGGAGCCTGATTTTCCTTCTGCCTATGTCTCTGCCTCTCTCTCTGGGTCTTTGATGAATAAATAAATAAAATCTTTTTAAAAATTCCATAGAACTAGACACTGAACCCCACCCCCAAAAAAGTATAGCAAAAGAGTGAAGTCCAAATGAGATTATTAGCTGAGTTGGTAGTATTCTATCGATATCAATTTCTGGTTCTGACAGTGTACTATAGTTTTGTAAGATGTTCTCATTTGGGGAAGCTGGGCGCAGGTATACAGAACTCTATTATTTTTGTAACTTCTTGTAAGTCTTAAACTATTTCAAATGTAAAAGCATTATGAAGAAATAATTCAATGTTAACATAGATCAAAAAGCCCCCTTGTTTGTGACTATTGTGTAGCTCTGTATCATTTGGTTTTGTTGCCAACTTTACCTTGTAGATTCATTTTTATTTTAATGGAGACTCATATCACGAGTAAATAAAATGATCAGGTTTTAGTTATAAATGACAAAGTGGAGTCAAATCACTATATGTTTAGGCTAATGCAATAGGTTATAACCCAGATTGTGAACCTAAATTGATCTTAATAAATACATAGTCATGAAGCCCAATGATAGGTGAAAGTCTGAAATTAAACAGGATTACCATTTAATCTTTAGTTTTGGAACATTTTATTTTTGGATAGTCCAAAATTCATCTAAGTTTGCCAAAGATTGAAATTTTCACACAACACATCCTTAAATTCCCTGAGAAGTAGAAAGTAGAGGTGGCTTGCATACTTTTTTAGGTGAGAATTTCTACTTCAGCAGACTTTGGGGAGGGCAAGCCTCCTCTATCTTGCTGATATGCCTAAGATGTGATCTATTTATATTACAAACCATATGCAGAGCCTGGCAAGCCTTTCTGTAAATGAGCTCATCGGTTCTTCCCTAAAATAGGAGACTAGAAGGAGGGTGCCAAAGACATTAGGGACCTTTCACAACCATTACACCTCTTGGTGCTGATTGAACAGGAAGGATAAACAAAATCTATGAGTTCTGATAGGAAGGATAAATAAGAAATACCTATCAAGGAGAACAGCATGTTTTCCTTGGTCTTCTTTGCAGGCCATCAAAGTCAAGTTCTTGAGGCCTTGAGTACTTTAATGGATTTTCCTTTTCTGTGTTTGTACAAATTGCAAGGAAAGATAATTTCAAATTTGTCATACCGATGGGCCTCCTTCAAAGTGTGATGAGTTTTTCTAGAGCTTCATTCAAAGCAACCAGTATTTATAGAACATTTTATCCAGTGTTAAGTCATTAGATTTATCTGTAAGGAAATAGAGAAGAGCAGTTGCTGACCTTAAGAGGCTCCCAAACAAGAAGGAAAGAGATGAAAAAACAAAGAAATGTATTACAAAATGACAAGCACAGTCAGAGCAGCACATACAAGCTTCAGAGAAAGGAGTAAGAGGGAGATCATCACCCATTTAGGACAGCGTGGCTCAAACTGGGCCTACAAAAGTATATATTCTTGGAGTGTGTTGTTTGCTACAAGAATGTAAAAATTTTGTGTTTTCATTAGGTGGAAATTATAAGTACACATATATACACAGAAATGTATTTTTTTCTAGTTATCTGGATGAGTACATATCAAAAAAATTTTCTTTTGTTGTAGGGAGAGCATTAACAGATCTACCCTTGTAACAAATTCTAAAGTGCACAATACGGTATTGTTAACTATAGGCACAGTGT